ACTGGTGTCCATGTTGGAAAGTGGTGTATGAGCTGCTTTCATGTCTCCACACTGTCACACTTTATCCCGGCTCTTGTGTGATCATACTGACACTGTTGGTGTCAAACACAAGAAGTCCTGAGGGGCATTCAACAAGTATTAAGAAGCAGAAGTCCTCATTTCTTGATGAGACCCTCGTCGTGTGATGTCAGTGTGAAGAAACATGAAGCTCTGCTGACATCTTGTGGCAGCTATTATTCATGTTTTTACAGTAAATGTTGAAAATGCCCCGTCAGCTTTGTTCTTCAGTTCTTATGCCAGCTAACTTTACTTTACCCATCATGGACCTGTTTAACTGCTATTATACAGACAAAGGTATGTGCCTTTCAGAGGATTCTATTACTTTGTCTATGTTGTGTCTTGTTTCCACTCAGGCCACACTGGCAGTAGCTGAGAGGCTGTGATTCATAAAATCCAAAATGGTTTCCCATAATATTGCAGTAATAGTTTAGGGGCACTTTTGAGAGGCTGTGAACTGTAGAAGACATTTATTGTTACATATCTCATCTGGCCTGGGAATGCCTTGGGATCCCCCAGGAGGAACTGGAAAGCGTTGCTGAGGATAGAGGCGTCTGGAGTGCTTTGTTTGGTCTGCTGCCCCCGAGACCCGGTCCCAGATAAGCGGATGAAAAGGGATGGATGGAGGAAAGATTGTGTCCAGCAGTTCTACAGCAGTAACAACAACAACACCGAAAACTTATGGAGGAAGACATAAGCATTCAGAAATCATGCAGCCTCATAACTTATAGCAAGAGTGCCACCCACAACAGTCTTAAATATCACAAAGTACAACTTGTGGAACCTCCTGCTGACACACTGTCCTTCCTCTGGTGAAGGAAGCTCATTAAGGTTGTGGTCCTGCAGCATGTTTTATTATTTCTCTCATTCTATAAATAATGTAATACATAAAAACAATAAATGCATTGATACAAAACGAAGAGAGCAGCAATGCAAATGAACATGCAAACTGTTCTGCATACCAGCTGGTTACAGTAAGTCCCTCCTCTTGCTTCCCTTAAATTCAAATCTGAAGTGTGAGAAACATGAATAAAACAGCAAAGATTAGGTGAAGAAGAAGGATGTGTAAATGGAGAGAGAGAAACGAGCATGGGATTAGTAGAATTATCGTTACTATGAACAGATGTTATGAACTGGCTGATGTTATCAGGAGTATACGTGTGTCTCTCTTGTTAATTAAACCTGCCCCTCTCGTGTACTTTGCATGATGCACGGTGTTCATGCCTGCCCATCTTTTATTTGTGGAAGCAGATGTAGATTATCATGAAATTGTTAGTCACGCCACCATCCACCATATAGACTGTAGACTGTTTGGATGCGAGGGACAAAACAGCAAACTTGGCGAAGGGAACTCATCCAGGTCACTATGGTCTCAGAGCTGTCAAAGGTACATTTTCTTACATCACTTTGTTTCATCTAAAATTTGTGCAGATTGTACAGATTGTAAACAGTCTTAAAGATTAATATGCAGCTTTTAACCAAGAGTGTGGTTTACTGCTGTTACATTTTACTTAATCTGTCTTTTCTCACCTGTTAAACAATTACTTTCTCCACAAGATGACCCTTTGTATAATTACTCACCCTGTGTTACCTTGAAATTGTAAAGAGAGTTTCTGACATGCCTCCAGTGTTACCTGCCCAGGTGTGCATGAGACTGTTTATCCATTAGTGTTTTAACTTGTAACATTTTAGTAAAAATGCATGTGTAAGGCTGGATAAATGAGACTTGGATTAGACTGCAGGAGTTAAGCGTTGTTAATCACAGACCCCCATGACTTTAAATCACTAAGATTATTCTGTTTCTCTCACACGTCTCCACAGTGAACAGACTCCAAAAACAGGTTTTCGTCAAGAATTAAACATGACATGCTGCAAGTGACTGATATACAAATGGTCATTTTGTGGGTGAAGAAGTCCTTTTACATATCATTTGGACATTTAAGAAACGTAAAGGTGTGTGTGTGTGTGTGTGTGTGTGTGTGTGTGTGTGTGTGTGTGTGTGTGTGTGTGTGTGTGTGTGTGTGTGTGTGTGTGTGTGTGTGTGTGTGTGTG